TTATGCTTGAGAGAAGGGAGAAAAGAAAAAGTTAAAGAATCAAAAGAAAAATCAAGAAAATAAAAAGAAAAAGTAGAAGAAGAAAAAGAAAAATCCTCAGAAAAATCTTTTTGGTTGGCATTATAACTCTTTTCCTCATCAACAATGAAAGAGTTGGGGGCTTCGGAAGCATGAATAGAAAGAGGATCCTTAAGAGGTTCTTTGAGAAAAGAAGGGAGGAACATAGGATAGTAGGAGATATGGTTAAACCTTTGGGAAAAAGGTGTATGAGAAAGGGAAAAAGGGGTAGCTAATCCCTCATCACAAGATCTCACATCACTAATGAGGGAATGAAAATCAATCATGGAATCCTCAAATGAAGAACCCTCATGTTCAACATCTCCCTAAAGCTCAAAAACTCCAAGGTAAGAAACCTTATCCTCCTTTTCACCACAATAAACAACCTTTCCTTCTACTATCTCAAAACCAAGAGTGAATGGGGGAAAATTTCTCTCAAACTCATCTCTTTCTAATGAAGCCTTATCAATGAACTCACTCATAAGGTTATGGGCTACCGTTTGAAACTCAAGAAATATTTGGGCCATAATCTCAAATGAGTCCAAATCATCATGGATAGACGAGTCAAAAGCTTCCTCATTGGAATCATCTAGGGGACTATGGGGCACACCTTTAGAATTCATGCAAAAATCGGATGCAATATGAGAAAGAATATGCACTTCATCATCATTAGAATGTACCTCATTACATTGAGCTATAGAGGGAGGGGAGTTGAAATCATGCATTACATGGTCACTATGGGGAGCATCAAGCACATCATGGGAATTCATATTAGACAAATCATGACAATTATCATCAATATTAAAAGCATGAGAATCCCGAACATAAGTCTCATGATTGGCCCTCTCCCAATCATAATTATCCCTAGCTAACCATGAATAGAAATCCCAAGCTTCATCCGAAGACATGTCTTGAAATTTACCATTTAACATATTATCAACTACTCCTCTAAAACGCTCATTTAATCCCAAATTAATGATTTCACAATAATCACCCTTGGTTAAACCTTTAACACCATCTAGGAAATCCTCAAGTCTATTGAAATACACCCAAAACGGTTCATTATCAAATTGAGGAATAGAAATATAAGCCATTTTTTCTCAAATAAAGCAACACAAATAAAAACCAACAAATCAAAAGAAAATTATAAACAATGGACTAGTCTCAATAAGATAACACAATGGTAATGGAAGCCGTTCCCCGGCAACGGCGCCAATTTGACAAGGGAATAAACGCGTCGTCAATTGTCTATCCCTAGATCAAACACAATTTATACAACCTAAACAAACCTAATACGAGTATAAGGCAAGCATAGGGGTCAAACCACAGAGAACGGTAAACACCACCAAATGTTATCGACAATTAAGCTAGTCCGGAATAGGAGATAAATAAACTAAAGTCTAAAGATGCTAAAACAAGAAATAAAACATTAAGGCACCAAGGGAAATGGGTAGGTGAAGTTGACGCTTGACCATATAATAACAAAGTAGCATATCAATGGTAAACTAAACATGCATGAATATCGAAGTAAAGGGTCCAATCTAGCCGCCTTCCGGTGTCAATTGTCTTCTCCTAACATAGCCTCTATGTTTCCACATTAGAACCATATACTAGGAGGTACTATTAAATAACAATCGATAGTAATGAATCTCAACTAAGTCAACTTCCGTTACTTGTTAGTAAAGACTCATCTTTGATCAACTAACAATGTGCACTTGCAAGAAAGACCAAAGAATATCAAGCATGCAAAGACTTTAATCACCATTAACATAACCCCAACATTAAAAGCATGAACAATTAGCAACTACACCATCCCCACACCCTTGGCTAGATGACTACTCACAAATCATATTGAAAACAATATCAATCATCAAATCAATAAGCATCAACATGATTAATAAGCAAAGAAGAAAAATAAAAGCAAATAAGCAAAATAAAAAACAAAGGTAAAGAGAAAGAGTAAGAGATTTCTCATTAATTAAAGATGAAGGTCTACAAAGGATTGAACAAGCTCCTTCTTCAAGATCCAAGTTCATTAATGAAGAAAACAACACTTTCTCTCTCTACCAATGAAGACTAATCCTAACCTAACCTAAAACTAATTAGAGAGAAGAATAGATGATAGTTATTGAATACCCCCTTTTAATTACCCCCAAAATTGGGTATTTATACTAAGATAGGAAAAATAGAAAAAGAAAAGAAAATAAATTAAATTAAATTAAAAAGAAAAAGTAAAAATAAGAAACTAAAATAAAAAATAAAAATAAAAGAACGAAAAGAAGAAAAAGAAATAAAAAATAAAAGAAAAACCAAATAAACCCACAAAACTTCTCCATACCTTGTTCTATTAATGGCATTGAGTTTGATAAAGCCTTTTGTGATTTAGGAGCAAGTGTTAGTCTCATGCCCTATTCCGTCTACCAAAAGCTTATTGTAGGAACCCTCTCCCCCACTAACATTACTCTCCAACTAGCGGATCGTTCCATTAAGTTCCCCATGGGCAAGGTTGAGGAAGTTCCCCTTAGGGTAGGAAAGTTCACATTCCCCATGGATTTTTATGTGCTAGAGATGGATGAGGACGAGAGGATTCCTATAATTTTGGGTAGACCATTTCTAGCTACTTCTAGAGCTATCATCAATGTGAAGGAGGATAAGATATCCTTGAAAATTGACAATGATTCCATTGAATTTGATTTGAATAGTGTCATGCAACAACCCTCCTCAAGTGGTGAATGCTTTAGAATAGATGTTCTTGATACCATGCTTAATGAATTTTCTCGCTCCCACTTGCTTGCTACTAATGATCCTATTGAAAGTGTGTTGTTGAATGAATTCAAGATAGGTACTCACAAAGAAGACATACAATTCTATAAGGATTTGCTTGAGGAAAGCAAGAGGGAGTGCGAGGATGAGAGCATGGAAGAAGAGGCTCCTTACATTCATGACCTCTTTCAAGTTGAATAAAGAGAAGAGAGCCCCAATGGTAAGGGAGCACCAAAGGTAGACTTGAAACCTCTACCTTTGGGCTTGAGGTATGCATTTCTTGGTTCTGATGAGTCTTTCCCCATGATTGTCAACTCTAACCTAACAGAGGAGCAAACCTCCCTCTTGATCAATGTTTTGAGATAACACAAAAAAGCTTTGGGTTATACCATTGATGATATCAAAGGTATAAGTCCATCTTTATGCATGCACAAAATTGATCTAAAGGGAGATGCCAAACCCGTTAGACAAAGGAAAAGAAAGCTTAACCCTTTCATGCAAGAGGTTGTGCAGAAGGAAGTGGCTAAGCTTCTTGATGCAAGAATTATCTACCCAATTGCTCATAGTGATAGGGTATCTATCGTATAAGTTATGCCTAAGAAAGGGGGCATGACAGTAGTGAAAAATGATCATGATCAACTAGTGCCTACTAGGCTTGTTACCGGTTGGCGCATGTGTATTGACTATTGCCAACTTAACACAAGTACATGCAAAGATCATTTTCCACTATCGTTCATTGATCAAATGTTGGAAATTCTTACAAAGCATTCTTTCTATTGTTTCCTTGATGGTTACTCGGGATTTTTCCAAATCCCGATTGACCCCAAGGATCAAGAGAAGACGACTTTCACATGCCCTTACGATACTTATGCGTATCTTAGGATGCCTTTCGGGCTTTGTAATGACCCCGCAACATTCCAACATTGCCTGATGTCTATTTTTAGTGATATGATCGAGGATGAGATAGAAGTCTTCATGGATGACTTCTCCGTTGGAGGAGTCACCTATGAAGATTGTCTATCCAATCTATCTCGTTGCTTAGAAAGATGTGAGAGGGTCAACCTCGTGTTGAATTGGGAAAAGTGCCACTTTATGGTGTAAAGTGGAATTGTTCTTGGGCACAAAATCTCCCATGTCGGCATTAAGTAGATGGATCTAAGGTAGAGGTCATTGAGAAACTTCCTCCCCCCACCAATGTGAGGGAAGTGAGATCCTTTTTCGGCCATGCCGGGTTCTATCGGTGTTTTATAAAAGATTTTTCATTGATTGCTAAGCCTCTCACATCCTTATTGCAACAAGATAAAGAGTTTGTGTTTGATGATGCTTGTCAAGAGTCTTTTTGTAGGTTGAAAGAGGCACTTTGCAGCGCTCCTATTGTCCAAGGTCCGGATTGGTCTCTTACATTTGAACTCATGTGCGATGCAAGCTACGAGGATATTGGATCGGTTCTTGGGCAACGAAAGGATAGGAAACTTCATGTCATACACTATTTGTCTAAAACTCTCAATGATGCTCAAAGAAACTACAGAACTACCAAGAAGGATTTCTTAGCGGTTATTCATTCATTTGAGAAGTTTAGAACGTATCTCATTGGTTCTAAGACAATTGTGTATACCGACCACTCAGTTCTCGAATATTTGATAGGAAAGAAGGAAGCTAAACCAGGATTGTTGAGATGGGTTTTAGTTCTCCAAGACTTCGACTATGAGATGAGAGACAAGAAGGGAGCCTAGATTGTGGTGGCGGATCACCTTTAAAGGTTGGGCGGTGCAAGGTTTCAAGATGATGGTTTGCCAATAGAGGATGCTCTAAGGGATGATGTGCTATATATCCTTGAGGTGAAGTCGGAGCCATGGTATGCGGATATTGTGAATTATTTGGCTTGTAGTGTCGTACCTCCGGTTTTCACTTCACAATAACGTCGAAGACTCAAGCATGAGGCCAAGAGATACATTTAGGATGATCCTATTTTGTTGAAGAGAGGGGTCGATGGTTTGTTGAGGAGATGCGTCCCCAACGATGAGGTTCAAAGTGTTCTCCATATGTGCCACTCTTCTCCTTGTGGTGGGCATATGAGTGCTCAAAAGACCGCCTCAAAGGTTCTACAATCTATGCTCTTTTTGCCTTTTCTATTCAAGGATGCTTGGATATTTGTCAAGACTTGTGATAGATGTCAACGGATGGGGAATATTTCAAGGAGGGATGAAATTCCACAAAACCCCATCCTTGATCTTGAAGCATTTGATGTGTCGGTTATAGATTTCATGGGCCCTTTTATTTCTTCACATGGGAACAACTATATTTTGGTTGCCGTTGATTATGTTTCTAAGTGGGCGGAGGCCGTAGCTTCCCCTACGAATGATTTTAAGGTTGTGGTTAATCTTTTCAAGACGGTGATTTCCCCAAGGTTTGGTGTTCCAAGAGCCATAATCAGTGATGGGGGGTCACATTTCAAGCACCACGCCTTCGCTCGACTTCTTGATAGATATGGAGTGTCTCATAAGCGAGGGATCGCTTACCATCCTCAAACGAGTGGTCAAGCGGAGATCACCAATAGGTAGCACAAAGTGATCTTGGAGAAGACGGTTGCTAGAACAAGGAATTATTGGTCTTCTAAACTCATTGACTCTCTATGGATAGGACCGCCTTCAAGACTCCAATAGGGACCACTCCCTATAAGCTTGTTTATGGGAAAGATTGTCACTTGCTCGTAGAGATGGAGCATCGAACTCATTGGGCGATCAAGCAAATCAACTTTGACCTCCATAGTGCGGTTGAACAAAGACTTCTTGAGCTACATGAGTTAGAGGATTTGAGGATGAATGCCTACGATAGTGCAAGCATGTACAAGGCGCGGACTAAGGCTTGGCACGATGCTCTTATTGTCAAGAAGGAATTTGTCAAAGGCCAAAAATTCCTCCTATTCAACTCCCGCTTAAAGCTTTTCCCGGGCTAGCTTAGGTCAAGATGGAGTGGGCCATACATTATTACGAAAGTGTTCCCATATGGCGCTTATGAGATTTCCCAAGACGGGCATTCTCCATTCAAAGTGAACAGTAACCGGCTCAAGCCCTTCTACGAATGATTCCCAAGTGATGAACAAATTTCTATGACTCTTCTTGATGTTCATCATCAATTTGACCCTCCTTGATTAGTTCAAGAATCGTCGAGCTAACGACGTAAACCAAAAGCGCTTCCGGGAGGCAACCCGAGTCTCTAACCCTTTTCTACTCTCTTATTTTCTTGGTGATTTGTTATTTTTCTATCTACAATTTTGGATTATTTGATATTTGAGTTTTGATTGTGTTGGAATTTTAGGTATTATTTGCCTTAGCATGATAGTATGGTGTTTTAATGTGTGTTGGGGACAATTTTATTTTGTCTAGATTTTGGATTTTTGAGGGGAGTTCGACCGAACCATGCAAAGGTTCAGCCACTCTTGTGCTAGAACAGAATTTGCGTTGCAAACTGCAGGTTTTGAGAATCGTAGGGAAGTTCGACCGAACTCCAAGAAGGTTCGATCGAACCTTGAAAGAGGTCCGGCCGAACCTCCATGTAGTTCGGCCATTGCTGTTTTGCGCTGAAAGTTGGGCAACATTCTGCCAAAATTGCTGAAAATGAATTTAGCAGCAGGTTCGACCGAACCTTAGGGAAGTTCGACTAAACTATTTCAATGGTTTGACCGAACTTACCCAAGGTTCGGCTGAACCCTTGACAGTTTAAAAAAAAAAAACCTGTTGTTTGTCTTGAGCTTTCTCACTTCAATTCGGCACCTCCCTCTCTCTATTCTCCTCCTTCTCACTCTAAAATCCATTGCAACCCCTCATACACCCTCCCATCTCCATTAAAATCACTCCATTCTACTCTTTTTCTCACTTATTTTCCATCCTCTACTCAATTTCTATAATCTCCACCCAAAAATTCCACACAAAAATCCCATCTTTCAATTTTTCCCAATTTCTAAGGTTTGAGTGCTTTGGTGTTTTTGGGTTTCTACTTACTTACAATCAATTGTTTTATGGTTTTCCTAGCTTTTGCAAGTTCATTTCATCAATTTCTCATAGTTTTACCATGTTTTGCATGTTTAAATTTGAATTGTGGTATTCTTGAAATTGTTGGTAGTAGCTTGTTTGATTCATGTGGTTCTTTGGATTTACTTGTTGCAATTGATTGGTAATTGATAGTAGAACATGTTGTTATGATGATTATGCATGTATACCTCGGTTTTATTTGATCTCAGTGTCTTTGCTTAAATATGTTGATTTCATACTAGGGTGTTCTTGCTACTATTTGATGATTGAGAAATTCATGAGTTGGATGTTGTTGGAGATTGCTTCTCATTGTTTTGGTTTGATTTTGATGTTTTGGTGAATGATTATCACGTAATTAGGGGACATCATGCCAAATTTCACCTATACTTTGTTAGGACTTACATATGAATGTCATAGGATTTCTTGCTCATGCCTTGGTTTAAATGTGTCCATTAATGCCTTGAATTGTATTGTTGTTATCCTCTACATCTATTTCACAACTCAAGGCAACTACTTTCATGCATACACTTTTACCGTGGCTAGCTTCTTATGTCATCTCTTATCAAATTGTCCTAATGATAGCTTTTGGTAATTTTGTAGAATCATGGTGCTTGGTAAGAGCAAGTCAAAGAGGAAGAGAGCGGGTGAATCTTCGTCACCGCATTTCCCGCCTCCTCCAAGAATTAATGATCATATAATAAGTTCTTCAAACGAGCACTTTTGGGACGTCTACAAAACCCTCATCACTCGTCCCATCCGATCAACAAGGTTCTTTTGTCCTACAACTTTGCAAAAGCTCGGTATCTTGGATGAGGTAGTCCGGTTAGCAAAAATATTTGGATGGGGTGACTTCATCAACCTCCACGCTCACACCTATGAGTGACTCACATTGGAATTCCTTGCCTCTCTCCGCAAGGAAGTCTTAGAGCCGAAATATAACGATGAGGAACCTCAACTTGTGATACACTTTTGCATGTTCAATGAGGATCACTCCCTAACCGAGAGTGATCTAAACGAGATCTTCCATTGGCATGCGACCAGGCTAGATCATCCCTGTGAGATGACTTGCACTCATCGCATCCTTTACAACGAGCAAGAGTGGTGGAGGAGCATATCCACCAGGAATAGTTTCCGAATTAACGCCTTTAAGGTCAACAACATCATCCATATAGCCATGAGATACTTTGCTCGGCTTCTCCAATATGTCGTGTTCTTCAAGGCAAACCTCGGCTCTATGGTGAAGGATGAGGTGGCTTGCCTTTTTTTGGCCGACAACCGTCAACGTCTTAAGTTCCAATGCTCCTCCACCTTCATCCAAAGGTTTTTGGATACTCGGGACAACCGTCTTGGTGACGATATTTTTATGGGGGGCATGATCACTATTATTGCCCTTTCCTTGAAGAATGGAGCCTACAAGGAACAAATAGAAATGCTCCCCTTTGTGCACCAAAACCGAGAGGAAGTCACCAATGAATTTCCTCCTTATTCTCTCTCCATTAGTGCTCTCCGTCACAACCGCTTCATCAACTACACTACAAGCAAGCGCAAGTTTATCCTCTTAGTGGATAAAGATATAGAATGGTGTGTCCTTCCGGACCCCTCTCTAACTATGGTGGACCACTCTGCTCCTTTAAAATGGAAGATCCCCTGACAGCACATCCCCGATGAATTGAGAAGAACCCGAGCCCAGGGTGCAATTCCTCATCCTCCACCGATCCACCACCCGGAGCAAACCGTTCCCCCCTTAGCGGGGGAGGTGAGGCATCTTCTTCTTCTTCCTTTCCTCCTTTTGATTTGAATGCCCTCCGTAGTACCCTCGAGGATATATGCCGTGATAATCAAGCTTCCATTGAACAATGGGGGTACTACGGAAGGATGACTTATGATAATCTTGTGCAAGCGGGCATTCAAATGCCTTATGTTAACTATCCCTGCCTCCCTCCTCAAGAGGACCCGGTTAACCATTGGGGGCCCTATGATCCCAACAACCCCACCCCCAATGACTACCCCTATTGGGAAGGTAACATCAACCCTTCCCAACGTATTGGCACCCCACCATTTAACCCATATCTCTCGGGTGGGTGTGATCCGACATCCATATCAACCCCAAATCCTTTCGATGATGGTTTGGGTGACCAAGAGTGGCCCTATGAGCATTTCAACCAACCCTTCCACCCATTTATGGATACTCCCGGGTTGTATTTTGATAACCCCCTTCAACCTAGAGGGCAAGGAGATAGGAACCCATGATGAGGGTTCCCTTCCTTCCCCCCCCCCCAGAACTTCTAACTTTTAATTTTTGCTCGAGACGTGCAAAAGACTAGTGTGGGGGAGGATGTTCCTTTTGGTTGGTTGAAGTGTACATAGGAGGGTAGTGTGGTAGGGTAGTAGCTTGTACATGAGGAGGACTATTGAGGATAGTGGCCTGGTTGTAGTTGATGATGATATGATGATGATGATGATGATGATCATGATCATGATGATGATGATGATGATGATGATGATGATGATGATGATGTTGTTGTGATGATGATGGTGATGTGATGATGATGATGATGATGATGTGATGATGATGATGGTGATGTTATGATGATGTTTTTATAATGATTTTTGTTGATTTTTGATGATTTTTTATGATTCTTGAGTTTTGCGTAGGCGAAGATGCTCCCAAGGAAAAATCCAAAATTTTCGAAAATCCTAATTCCCTTAATCCAAACTTTGTAGATAACTTTTTATTTATTTTTCTTCTTTTTATTTATAACCTTAGTCTTTTTCTTTGATTTCTAACTTTTTCTTGTTTTGTCATAGTTTCTTTTGTTTTTGCTCACTTTTCTTAAAGCTTGAAAGCGGAGACGAAGGAAGTTAAGGAGCAACACGAGCTCCCTTGGTGAGATTGTATTAATTATCTTGTCTTCCATTTCAAGCGGCGTTTGGTGAGACCTTTCCTCTCTTATATTTTCTCTTTCTTTGAGTGCTTAGTCTAGGAATAGCTTAGGAAGAAGTTGAATGGTTCGAGGTTGCTTGATTTCGGTTCTAAGGATCCTGGGATCTTTGATGTTGTTATCAACGATCACTTGTATGACGATTGGGTTTTACTTTGATTATATGCCTCGTTTGTGAACCTTTTAAATTTCTTCCTCTTTTTGTGTTGTCTTGTTTTCCCTTTTTTTATGAACATGACTATGACAAGTTGAAATGATTTTTGATTTGGAATTTTCTCATTCATTTGGATTTGTGTGCCTTTCATGGTGACGTGCTCTTTGAATGCTTATCTTCCTTGTATATGAGGGTTTACATGGTTTGAGAATGCTTAGGGTTGAGTTAAACACATTGTTAGCTAAGGTAGCCCAGTTTAGAAATTTTGAGGACATTTGAACCCCTAGTTCACGGGAAAGTGGTAAGATGGAGTTGCTCTCTATAGTGGATAGGATTCCCTCTAGTTGGTATTTGGTTATTTCTTATCCCATGTGAGCGTCATTTGTTCTAGCCTTGATCATTCTTGTGAGCGGCATTTTGGATCCTTAACTATGCATGTCTTAATCTTTGTGTTGGTATCTAGCTCCCGAGATCATGACCAAACAACTTTAGAGGAGGAAGAGGGAATTTCTTCTCATTTTTCTTTGTTTTCTTTGTGTTTTGTTACAAATTTGGTTTTCATTTTTTTTTGCATCCACCTACTTGCTATCCAATTTGAGCCTTATTTCCCTTTCTTGACTTAGCCATATTACAAACCTATTGGTCTATGTTCTACCGACCCTTGTAGTTAGTGAAGCATTGACTTGTGAGGTTCGAGTTTGAGAGTGTTGGTTCTGATCAAGAAAGTTGTGTAAATCGGTTCAAGTAAGGTTTTGAAAGTTAGTTATGAAAAGAATATGCAAAAAGTTTGTGAAGAAGGTTGCAACACATGAAAACCAAGTGAAGTTGA